AAACAAAGATCAGTGATTAGATGTGGAACTGAAAATGACCTTAGTCATTACAACCTAATTCCCTTAGCAGTGCATGGCACAGAGAAAGTAATGTAAAAAATGCTTCTATTTTACAGATGAGGAAATGAAGGGTTGGAGAGGTAAAGTGATCTGCAATCAATAAAGCTGGGTTTAGAGCACTCATTCTCCAACACCAAAGCTATTTCAACAAAAATAAGTTTTTCCTAAAAATTCAAGTCAGTGAGGTTTGAGACTCAATTTCTCTCCTCTATTTCCCTAATACCTCTAAATGAAGTACCCCAGTTACACATAGAACAGATAATTAAGCAAACTCTACCTATCACCCCATCTGATTCATCTGGCAGGGGAGGAGAAGGAAATCTCTAATCCTGTGTGATATGACTTCTTAATACTATTCCACTTCAACAGCTCAGGCTCCTTTTCCTGGCCAGAAGACAAACTGATGTTGGTGGGTGCACCAAGTGCCGAGTCAGACACACCATTCCATCCTCAGCAAGTGAGGACTTAAGATGCTACAGTGGAGCACTGCTACAATCACATGAGGTGAATAAGACAGAATACTCCATTTTTTATAATGGGGCAATATCCCAAGGTGACTTTACAAGTTTCTAGGGCTATTTTTCTGAAAATCTAAACAAAGTAAATGAACCCACAAAGTACCAAATTTCAGGACTAGCTCCCTAAGACTATACTTTGGAATCTTCCAACGTGAGTGAGAAGTCTTCCATTGCCAGACACCAAATGTCTTTTCCAAAAATTATTTCCTTCTATAATGCTCCAGACTCTTAAGATTCATCCTACTATCCCCACCTAGGGGTGGTTATGTCCAAGAGAACAGTCAAAGTTTTTCCCAAGTTTCACCAAACATCCAACAAATACTGTATACTAGGTCTTTATCCCAAGAGATTAATAAAAAAAAACCCTGTATACACAAAAATATTTATAGTAGCTCTTCTCTGGGGGCAAAGAATTAGAAATTGAAGGGAAGTCCATCAATTGCGCTGAATAAGTTGTGGTATGTGATGATATTACTTTTACTATAATGACAAGCAGGACGTTCTCAAAAACCGAAAGTCTTGCACGGTCTGATGCAAAGTGAAATGTACTGTGTACAAAGTTAACTGCAATGGGGGGCAGCTAGGTGGCGCAGTGGATAGAGCTCTGGCCTTGGAGTCAGGATGACCTGAGTTCAAATTCGACCTCAGACGCTTGAAACTAGTTGTGTGACCCTGGGCAAGTCACTTAACCCAATTGCCTCACCAAAAAATGCAAAAAAAAATAACAGCAAAACTGTAACACGATCAGCTGTGAATTACTTAGCTATTCTCAGCAATACAACCATTCAAAACAATTCTGAAGGACTTATGAAAAATGCTACCCATTCCCACAAAGAACTGATGGTATCTGAATACAGACTGAAGTATACAATTTTTTTTTAAAGAGAAAAATAGCACCGAGATCAGAATTCAGATGGCTTTGCTCAAGGATACTTTCATAAAGAATAGTCAGCTTTTGAAAATTACTGTAACTGCTTCCCTGTGTATAAATAATCAGTAGCTGGGCCCTTTGCTACTAACTACTCCTGGACCATGCCTTTATTGGTTCTCTCACTTTCTAATGAGGATTTATTAAGCTGTCAGACATTATGCCTTGACAGCACATCCATTTCCCATCACTTACAATAGTGGACCTAGCTTTTAACCAAGTTTATTGATCTCATTCTATTTCTCAAACTTGTCTCAGCATTATCAATCTTCATTCCTTCTGGTTACAGAAGAGATAACTTTCTCACAAGTAAATTCAACTACCAGCACCCTTGGATGCTATGCCCTCCCACGTCCTTTAGGACTTTGCCACACAATCTCCTCTCATTCGTCTGTAATCTCTGCTATTCCAAGGATTTTTTTCCATCAGCCTAAAAACATGCTCAGATTTCCCTACTCCCAAAGTAGTTTTTCCTTTAAGAATTCAGCTAGCATTCCATCTCTCTCCTCCCCATTACTTCTAAAATATTCTTTAAAGCTGATACGCCCCCTCTTCAATAACCAACCCATAATTTCACCCCAACTCCTTGAAATCAATTTGCCTTCTCTTCTGCCCCTACAGACTAATCCTGTTGCCTAATCATATGGCCTTTAGCTTTCATTTTACTCCAAAGTCTGTCTGAGCACCAGGTGACGGATGTCCCGCATTGGTTTCAGAAATCATTCTTGGTTCCGAATATCCCAACAAACTGGTTACCTTTACTGGTCCTGAGAATTTAAGGACACTTTCCAAAGCAGTCTATTGCAGGGATGGGGAATCTGTGGCCTCAAGGCAGAAGGTTCCTCATCCTTGGTATGGTAATAGCATTTACTATAATGGCTTCAACCACAGGCCCTCTTCAGATAAATCTCAAATCTATTTCTAACCCTCAATCTCCAGGTGCTTTCAGATCATCACTTGGGATGTTCCACTAGTACATCAAACTCAACAGATATAAAACTAAACCTATCCCTTTCCCCCAAATTGTTCATCCAACCTCATGTTGAGAGGAAGCCTGGTATAATGCTGTCTTACATTCAAATTCCACTTCAGACACTTACTAGCTGTAACCATGGGAAAGTCACATTTCCACTTACATAAAACAGGGCAATGTACCTAACTACCTTTCCAATCTGTTCTGAGGCAAAAATAAAAAAATCTCAAGTGTTTTGCAAACCTTTACAACACTACCAATTTGCAACTATAGGTAATCCTGTTTTTTCCCTCTCCTTAAGTCTACCCCTACTTATGTCCTAAGACCTGTCTATTCAACCATTACCTATCTACAACCTATTTTCACAACTACAATACAAGCCCTCATTACCACTTTCCTAAATTACTGTGATAGGCTGTTCTATTCAACTCAACAGTCTTTCATAATAAAAGAACCTTCCTTACACATTTGGTTCTAACAGTTTCCATTCTCTCCCTCCTCAAATTACTTATTTTTACTTGTACAAGTTCTATCATCCTAGTCTAACTTAAGCTTCTTGAGGGTACAAACAATTTCATTTTTGTCAAAGCACCTAAATAATGCCTTTCATTTCATAGGAATTTAATGAGTTGAATGACTATCAATGTAATAAAAAAATCTTCAGTGGGTCCACAGTACCTATTACCTATTGCTCCCAAACAACTGTACAAAGGAGAACTCATTCCCACCTAAATCCATCCATCATCTTCTAAAACAGTTCAGAGAACTATCCTCTCAGCAACGCATATTCCTATACTGATTCACCGTACTTTTGCCTCACTTTCCCTTCCCCCACATAAAATCAGACAAATCTTACCTTCATGTCATCTCTACTTTTTCAAATCATATCCAATCTTCCTGTACAGGCCTCTTGAATAGTCATTTTCCTAAGGTACAGGTCTGATTACTGCCCTCCTTCCTTGAAAATCTTCCATGGTTCCCATTGCCTCTAAAACATGAACTCAATGTAGCACAGCATGCATTCAAAAACTTTGAAATTTAACCCCAAGCTAACTGAACTAGTTGTTTACACATTTGTTCAGGTCTACCCTCCCTACCCCAAAACAAGTATCCTTAACTACTTTTAAAGCTTAGTTTTGGTGTAAAAATATCCCTGAATTACATTTGTGCTCTCTCCTATTCCAATTAACTCGAGGGCATATTACAGTGCCTTGTAGAATAGGTTCTTAATGCCTGTTTAAACTGAAACCCTTCTGCCTGGTATTCAAGGCTCAACTATTTGGCACTACTCCCACCCCTCTAGGTGTTCCTTCAATAATCCCACAACCAAACTGGCTTTCTCTCTTCCAAAATCCCTTCCTTCATGCTGTTTCCAAAATTTAGAATCCCCACCATTTCAGAGATAAAGGGAATTAAGAGTTTAGTTTATAGAACTGGCAAACAAGATGCATCTACTTCTCCACACCCAATGTCCCAAGGACATAGTATATGAAACTTGTGAAATATCTACTATAGCTTACGGGCAATTTAACTCTAGTTATACAATGTCATACAACGCTAAACCCTAATCAAGAAATATTGATTTTCTTTTCTCAGGCTGAGAACCCCTTGATGAGAATATTTCAGACCCCTCTGAATCTGCCAATTTACATAGATCACCCTTCTGTCTAGATGGTTAATTAGCTACTCTTAAACCCTAGCCTTTTCTCCCTTAAATCCCAAAGCATCTTGAGTCACTAATGACAAACTACAAGTTACATAGTTCCTCACTCTCTTCTTTCAGTATTTTGAACCTTCACTTTCAACCAGGTGAATGCAAATGAAGTTTTGTGAGAAATAAAATCAAGCAGCTTAAGAACAGAATTCTCCAATGAAATTTCTATTGTGATCTTGGGATTTGGGAATATTGAATTCTCAAGGGAAGACATTCCAGGAATACTTAAAACTTATTATCTTAAAATTCGGCTAAGATCAAACTCAAACCCCACCTTTCCCCCATCACACATCTTGAACCAGAAGAAAACTCTATGTGGAATTACAGTAAACTAAAATGCCATGAACCAGAGTCATCAAGGACAGTAGTTCCTTGCTCCTTTGGTCTTCCTTGTATAACTTCAATGGCTTTAAAACTAAACACAGGTGAGCTGAATAAGGGAAGAATGCTATATTACCTGAGACAGATTGGAGAAGAGAGTCCTAACTCAACTCTCATATACCCAAATAGTATGCAATGGGCTTGTTAAAACACACAAGATTGAGAGCCTTTTTCCCACACCTCAGTAGAGAGGTTTGTTGTATCAAATAGACTTTTGTTCATTTCAGGTTGACACTGGTTGGACCAATGCTCAATCTTATAATCTAACAGTGAGGCAACATGACCCAAAAGATCAGAATGGATTTGGTAAACGATAAACATTCAGCACTTAGTACCATATACCTATGAGAACCAAATATATGAGCATCTGTATAATGCTATTAAAACTTTTTTCAAGGTTTAAAACCACTGACTGGAAGCACCAGAGTCCATTGGATCATTTTTATTTGTATGTATGTTTTACATCCTTAGAAAAAGAATCCCAGGATTTTTCCTCCTGTGTGTTTTCGTCTTGCTTCCTCATGGTCCATGATGCCAGCTGAGGTTGTAAGCACAATGAACCTATTAAAGAGTTAGAACAAAGAGAAAGGATTTTTCTAGGTATAAGAATAACCTTTAGCAATATGGTCAACTGCAAAAATATTACACAAACCTCCACCTTAAGCAGTCATGGAATTAAACTTGCCTATACTTAGGATTCAGATGCTCTGGTTGTCTAGTATTAGAGATTTTGAATTTATAAAATTCCCACTGGGCTAATAGCAGCAGAGAATTGTTCCAAAACCAATTGTGTATTAGCTTGGGGCAACAAGATCCAACCTCATATATGAAGACCTCAAGATTAAAAAAAAAAAAAATTCCTTTCATTCTCCCCACCCCCCAAAAAGAAACTTTTCTATTTCTCTAGAAATACCAAGTCTTCTTAGACTTTCTGGACTCAATCTCTCTTTGATGGCTAAGTTAGGTTGAACACAAAATCCCTTCCATTAGGAAGTATAAATAGTTACCACTATTGACTGAGAAAATACATGATAAAAAGCTACTATGAACTCAATATTTTAAATGAACTTGTTATTTTAATCACAACAGTATTTACAAACCCATGAAATAAGTCATTCATACATGTGCTTATTCAATCCACAAAAAAATTTATTTGATAGCTCATTTGAGATGGCTAGTGGGGCACAGATTGGAAAACATCATTCTAGGTTTTAAACATTCCCTGCCTATATGTAAGGATAATGATAATATTCATGATATCCTTAAACTAAATGCAATTTACTCTGTAGTTTCCATGATTTAGCAGTGTTTTGCTAAATTGTTTCACAGAACACGGGCTGTTGAACAAAGGTGGGGGTAGTTCAATGAATAAAATGTAACAGCTAATTATTTCCTCCTGAACATTAATATTTGTGTCAATAATCAATTATGCTTAGCATTTTTTCAATGAAGATAGGCCTAATTTCCTCTACTCTCTCAAACTTGACTTCTCACTTTATCCTGGTAGTAATACAGATAATTCAATTCCCCCTAAATCATGGGATTGAATTTAAAAGTACTCCTTGGTGGAGCAACTAGGCAGTCTAATGGATAGAGCACCAGTCCTGGAGTCAGCAGGACCTGAGTTCAAATCCACCCTCAGACACTTTACATTTGCTAGCTGTGTGACCCTGGACAACTCACTTAACCCCACTGCCTAGTCAAAAAAAATATAATTTTTAAAAAAAAAAAAGTATTCCTTGGTCAAATTAGTTAGGGGAAAAGCCTAGATGCCAACTTATTACTTTGTTTTCAGGGTAGAAAAATAACTGATTAATGAATGATACTTTTATATGGCGTGTGTTCTTAACTAGAACTGCAAAGTTATTAATTTCATTTTCTTTCATATTCAACACCTTTTAAAGATTCAAAAAGATTGACACCACATTAAAACCAATGAAAACAAATTCAAAGTACATGTTTCTGAATGCATACAATATATATAATAAATCATATAAATAATATATACAATAATGTAATAAATTAGATCACTTCACAGAAATTCTCTGATTTGTAAACTTTAAACTGCATAAAGAGAGGCTTACCCAAACTGACGGGACGGTAGCAGATTATTCTGCCACTTCTCCAGATCTTTCAACTGAACATCAAATCTGGGGCTGATTACACCACACTGTAAAAAAATATTTTTCAAAAACTTTTTTTGAACAGAAATATTACATTCTAATGATTTAGAACCACTTTTAAATAATGCCTGTTTAAGCCTATCAGTTATTAAAGCAACACCTTTACTGACTGCTTAATGTGCTAAGTGTGCTGACCCTCTAAGCTCCCAGTCCTCGAAGAGCTTACAATCTACCTAGAGGAACACAAAAAGTTTAATAAGACAAAAATAGTAGACATCACAAAGCAGTACATGATTAGTTGCCAAAAAAATGGAAGGCGTTAAAAATTACAGCTCAGCAGTTTTTCACTGTGGGCTGGAATGGCTGATATGAAAATACCCCTTATGAAAAAAGAGCAGAATCGGAATGGTCAGGAAGGAAAAGGAATGGAATGAGGGTTGGGGAGGAGGAAAAAAGAGCTGAGTAAAAGATAAACTTGAGGGAGCTTCATTTGTGAGAAGAGGAGGATGAATGCAGATAATGTTGAAAAAGCAGGATCAGGTTAGGCAGAGTTAAGAACCTTAAATCGGCATAAAGTTTCTGCACAGAAAAAATGCATTTGGGAAAACTAAACTATGCAGATCTTGCAGTTAGCACTCCAACACACTAAAAAGCAAACAACTGAACTCTACTTTATGTTTGTAAGAGTATTTTAGTTATCTACCCCTGCAACAAGATAGCTGGGTTTCTCTAATGTAATATAATCACTGATTTCATATTTGTTGGAAACTGCCAAGATCCAGCCACCACATAACTATGGTCACAGTTTGCAGAGAACATCCTGTGAATGTATATTAATAACCTCCTTTTCAGTTTCTCTAGATATATCAAGTCTAAGAATCCTTTCTGGACCCATTCTCTCTTTTATGGTGGGTTTGGTTGAATACAAAAACCCTTCCATTAGGGAAATGGATTAAGGTAATAAGGAAACTTAACTCCAGTCTAGATATAATTATATATGACCAGTGACCTGTCCAAGGGAATTCTTTCCTATGTGGCTCAATGATACTGGGAAGAGACTCCTTCAGTCAAAGTAGTTTAGTAGTGACTTGTTCTAGAATGTTACATCAATAAATTATTCCTGGTATATTTGTGTTTCAAGTGCTGCATACAATACTAACATTATATTAACATTTTTTTCTACAATCTCCGTATGTTCACATATAATCCATGAACTACAACATAAGAAGTCTCCTAACCTCTCTGAGCCTCAGTTTCCTAATCCATGAAATGAGGGGACTGAACTAGATGGCCTGAGGCCCCTTTCCAGCTCTGGCTCTAGGATCTTATGACTAAGGGGCAGCTAAGATTATTTACCTGCTATTACTTTAGGATCCAAATTTATTTCAGTCACTATAAATATGAACATTTACATCTAATAATGTTTAGCTGACCATTAAGTTCATGTTTTAAGAGATAACTTTGGTTTTAATAACCAATCTTTTCCAGAAATCATATCTCTCCCAAGATCACTAAATAAATGTTTCTTAATGAAGGACCCACTGGTCTATTTTTCACTTTTTTTTTCTCATCTCAAGCTCTAATTACAGATTACAATTATCAAGATATGAAAAACGTCCTCAGAAATCTTATTAGTCTATAAATTCCTACCTTGTTTAATCTGCCCGTGAGGTTCACGACAATTTTTCCTGCTCTATGATCATCAATGATCTCAAATTCACCAATGTAACCTACATGGTATAAAAGAGTGTATGTTATGCAACGAACAGAAAAAGTTTGCAACTCTTGAGTCTTCGGTATATCGATTCAGTGTTCCCCAAGCAAAAATATACTGGATTTTGTACTAAAACTAGCATTTCTAATGTACCCTTGACAAAACTTACTTCTGAAACTTAGAATACTTAACAAAATACTCAATTCACTAGTACACCAAACTTGTTTAATTTCCATAGTGTGGCCAAGGGGAGAAAGAGTCTGATCCAACTACTACCCTCATTTTACACTAGAGGAAACTTGAGGCCACAGAACTCTAGCATCAAGTACACAGCAAATGAAAGTTACTCATTCTTATTATATTTAGAAGGCTCAGAGTAATTCCATACATATCTATTTTTAAAAATTTCACAATACTATAAATGCTGCCATTACAAAAGTACAATTTTTCTCAAAATCGAAAGTATTACCAAGGACCACAAAGCTCTTCATCTCTTCTACATTGTATCTTGAACCTCCTTTAAAACAATACCACAGAGAGAATCATACTTACCATGCTTCATCATCACAGTTAAGAACCGGACAATTACTTTAGAGCATGGCCTAATGAGAACCTGACGTTTTCCTCGCTTTTCTGCATTGTTGATGCTTTTGAGAGCATCTGCCAGGACATTCATACGCACCATGGTGCCTATTAAGGAGAGAAAAAATAGTTTAGTTAGTACTGCCATCATAAGCTGAAAGGGAATGATTTTAACTGTTGTTCCCCATTGGCAAAATCAAGATGCCAAGGATCCAAATAAGCCTGCAATGATGCAAAAGCATAAATATCTTTAATAAGGCATAAGAACAAACAATCCAGGCTCATTATTAGGGCCAGGGATTGGACCTGTGATTTACTTAGTATAAGAAACTCCCAGGTGAGGAAAACTCCATTAATTCAGGTTCTCTGCTACTTAATGATCTTAAAAGAGAACAGGGAGGTCATACAGTCAATGTCAGAAATAGGACTTGAATCCCAGTATTTCCCAGAGAGGCAGGCTCTCTGACTACTACCTATATTGTCTATCATAAATCAGTTGCTTAAAAGAAGATTTTAGACCAGATCTAAACCTGAGGTCAGAAAAATTCCCTCATTCTCACAAATTCCGGGCCACAGACAAAAATTAAAGTCTTGTACCAACAAGGAGCTTACATTCTATAATGGGAAATAACACACACAAATCACAACTAAATACAAAACACACATAAAACAAGTAACAAGGGCCTGTTAAGAGAATCAGGCTAATAAGTGGCACCTGAGCTCAAACTCTTCTGTGAAGGAGGGATTCTGAGAGACCTGAGTAAATATACGAACGTCGAGCAAAAAGGTCTAGTTTGACTGGACAACATGATGGGTGGAGACGAATTTATGCTAACTCAAGTTAGGCCTAAGACAAATTAATGGTGTTTTAAATGCCAAGAGTTTGTATCTCATCCTACAAGCAACAGGGAGCCACTGAGGTTTGCAGGATAATGAAATGAATGGTCAGACCTATGCTGGGAGCTGTGTGGAGAATGAAAAAGGGTACCTGGAGACTACTGCAAACAAACGAGGAAAATGACTTTTTGAAAGATGGAGGTGAATGCCAGACTTGACAAGACTTAGCCAGGTAATGACGGGGAAGATGGGAGATGGGTAGTGAGGCAGAAGTTAGAGCCAAAAACATTCCTCTGAGGCTGCAAATCAGCAACTCGGGTACTGGCAGTTTCAGCTCTGCAGTGTCACCCTTCTTACTCAAAAGTCATCATTACCATTAATACCAAACAAACTGCAATTTGCCACTGAAAGCTCTTTACAACCTGACGCCCTGTTTTTTCGCTTCTTACAAAGCTCTTCCCTCTACGCTGTCAGTTCGTCTCTCAAGTCCTCTTGCACACCCCACCCACCCAACCTTCCCGTGCCTACAATGCACTTCTCCTTCCTCATCTCGCCTCCCAAATGCTTGGCTTTCTTTCCTCCAAACTTAAGCTCCAAGGGCCACCTTGCACAGCAGACTTTTCCTAGAGCCCCCCTCCCCCGAGTTGCTAATGCCTTCCCCGCAATAAAGTCACCTTGCACGCAAATGAAGGCGTACTTTCTACGGACTGCTTTAGGGATGGGTGGTCTCCCCTACCAGAAAGAACATCCTGGGCTCCTTGGGGCCTGTGGCAGCGTCCGCTTTTCCTTGGTACCCTGCACTCAGCAACAGGCCTGCGGGGCTATCAGACTCAAGGCACTAGGGAATTCACTGACCGCCCGGCCTCCGGGCGGACCCGGCCTGGCCTCCCCGGGCTTGCATTCCCCGTGGACGAGTTCTCTTCCGCGCGAAGCAAGCCATATTCATGGCTTACTCGTTGCGCTCCAACGGACTCAGCGAAGGAAACGCCCCCGGCCCCACTGCAGCGGGGCTCCCTCCGCTCGCACGTGCGCTGACCGGCAACCGGGGCCACAGTCAGGGGCCTCACGCTCGCCCATGCCCGCCCAACCGCACGCCAGGTTCCGCCCGCCGCCCCGGGGGCCGTGCTCCCGGCCTCGCGCGTCGCCGGCTCCGTTCCCGGGCCTGAGGAGCGCGGAAGCGGCCGCACCCCCCACCCCCGGGGAAGGGAAAAGAAGAGGCTTTAGCGGAGTCGGAGGCACCCTCCCGCCCCCGCCGGTCCTCCCGCGTCCCTCGGATCTCCAGCCGGGAATCCAGCCGCGGCCAGACTGGGAGCCTCTGAAAGGGCAGAGTCTGGGGCGCCAACGGAGCCCACGAGCGCGTGAACTGGCCACAAGATGTAGCCGATGTCCCGTGGATGCAAACGGAGAGCAAACCGAGGCTACTCACCAGCGCTGCAAGATGGCGGAAAGAGGACGCGATGGGAGAGCGCGGAGAGTTATGGGAAGCGCGGGAAGTCTCGCGAAGCTTTGGAGGAACGCGGAACAGGATGGGGCGTACCTGCCCGCCCAGGAACTACAGCAAAACAGAGCCGATGACAGGGCACCGAGAATTGGGAAGGGCGGGTACCAAGAAGGGCTGCCTGGGGTCGGGGAATTAATTATTGCCTAGACTCGTTTCAACACCTGCTTTCTATATACCCTTCCTATACTTTAAAACTTTTCTCAAAGATTTGAAATGTTTAAAAGTTGTCTGCTTGTTTTTCATGATTTATTAATTGCAAAGAAATCTAAAAACATTGATAAACAATCTGTGCCAACTTAATGCGGAAGAAAACCACAAATGCCACCAAAAGAAAAGAAGAAAACTTGATTAAGAGAGAATAAGGACTACCCCATTATTCGACATTCATCCGTACATCAGCTTCTCCCTGCGTTACTTAGACTCACTAGACTCACGACGGTTACTCGTTTTAAAATCACATGTGTACCTCGTTTTATGAAAACTTTAAAATAAGGACGTTCCAGGTAAATCAGAAAGAACATATATGTATGCATACATAAATACATATTAAAATTTTCCCTTCCTAGTACTCCCCCACCCCCTGCAAATGCTTTCCCTCTGAGATCTATGGTTGAATCATTTGGTACAGAAAGAGAAGTAATGTATAATTCTGTAATAAGGTAGTTTAGGACCAGGTTGTGAAGGGCTTTAAATGACAGAAGAGTATTATAATAATAATAAAAAACATACACATATATACATATGTGTATTGTGCACGTGTATGTGTAAGTATTTGTGTACACATATATATAATTATTCATCTGTTAGGATATAAACTCTTGAAACGGGATTCTTATTTGTATCTTATTTGTGATTAGTGTATAGTAGGTGGTCAACAAAAATTTGTTGATTTGATTGATTTAAAAAGGATTGGTTTATTTAAAATATAGTAAAATGATTTATCAAAAAATACTGATTCATATTAAGATTTTCAGAACCTCTCTCGCTCCACCCCAAACTCTCATTTATAGTTTTCTCCTTTTCCCAATTGGAGAAATCTTTTACATTCACCTGAGGCATCATCTCAGTAATTCTCTCAACAGACCTTTCGTTGTGGCTACACCCAATCTCCCAATTCTGTTATTGCCCCTGGCCACTTCCTACCCTTAACCTTATCTCGACTCCTTTCTCGCTTGGCCACCTGCCCCAGGTCCCTGGTATTCCATTCACCCCAGTTTACTGGCCACTCCCATCCAGATCCCCCTTAGACCTCTTCTCCAGTCACCCCAAGCTAGATCACCGCCCACAGTCTTTCTGTATGTAAGGTCCATCTGGCCTCCATTAAGGTCCTCAGATTCCTTAAGAACCTAGACAAGGGCTCAGATTCTTTAGATCTGGCCTTCTTGCATTAGTGATACAAATGCTTAGATTCCTTAAGAGTCTGGCCAATACGGCTGATCTTTAATAAAACTTGTCTTTGGCTGAAAGAAGGCTTGGATCAAATTCACTCAGGCAGGACTCACGTATTGTGATTTTGGGGGTCCTAGCACCCCTAACCCTCTAAACTTCAACAGTACCGTATTGTAAAATTTGGGTTAAGTAGTTGGTCATAGGCTCTGTGTCATCTGCAGCTGCCACAAAACCCTCCAAAATTCCCATTTAATTTCTTATGCCAACCTCAGATATATCGAAACCTCAATGGGGAAATTGTGGAAGGAATATCTATTTGGGAGCAGCTAGGTGGCACAGTGGATAGAGCATGGCCCTGAAGTCAGGAGGACCTGAGTTGAAATCTGGCCTCAGACCAAACACTTGACACTTATTAGCTGTATGACTCTGGGCAAGTCACTTAACCCCAACTGCCTAAAAAAAAGGAATAACTATATGTATACATTTTCTGAAATGTTCAGTGAAACTAATTAGACTTTACAAATTTTTTAAAACAGCACTAAAATTAGACTAAGAAAAAAAACACAAACACCTGGGTTTCCTGTGTTTTCCCATTTTCAGTTTTGGCTCTACCACTTTCAGGCTGTGTGACCAGTGGCTCTCAATTCCCTAGAGGATCAAATATAATATCCTCTGGTTGTTAAAGTCCTTTGTAACATGATTCCTTCCTGCCTTTTCCACTCTCTCAACTTTTTGCTCCCCTAGACATAATCCATGATCCAGCTAGACCGGACCACTTTCTGTTCTCAGAATATGTACTCCATCTCTCATCTCCTTGCTTTTGCACTAGCAAAATCCCCATGCCTGGTATATTCTTCCTCCTTACCTCCAATTCCTAGCCTCCCTGGCTTTCTTTAAGACCCAGCTCAAATTCTACTTCCTGAAGGAGGTTTTTCTCCCCCTAACCAGGCAGTTGGGGTTAAGTGACTTACCCAGGGTCACACAGGTAGTAAGTGTCTGAGGCCAAATTTGAACTCAGGTCCTCCTGACTCTGAGCCAGTGCTCTGTTCACTGTTCCATGAGGCCTTTTTTACTACCACCACGACCCCAGCCAAACCCTTGCAAGTACTCTCCCTGTTAGCTTGCATAGTAAGCCTGGAAAGGTAGGTTAGGACCCAGTTCCAAAGGGCTTTAAATGACAGAGGAGATTATAACAGATTTCAAAGGCAATAAGGAGCCACTAGGGCAATTGGGTAGGGGTGTGGCATGATCAGACTTGGTTTTTAGAAGTATAAACTCAGTAGTTATTCATGAATGGGAGAAGGAGAGACTGGTGAACTAAGAGATGAATTTGGAGGCTTTGAAAATTACCAGTAACATGTTTCAGAGAAGGGAGAGTGGAACATCCTGTTCTGTACACAGCAAATAGGCCTATTCAGCTAAAATGCAGAGCTGCTTGAAGGATAATAACAGATAATAACAACCAAAGCCAGAATGTTAAGAGTTTCAAATGCCAAGAGAGTTTGTTTTTTTTTATTTTAAAAGCAAGGGGCAGCCCCTGCAGCATCTCTAAGGGTGCCATTTTCAGAACTTTACTTTAGGAATACCAGTTCAGACAAAGGAGGGGAATGAATTGAAATGGGGAGAAATTGGAGGTAAAGAGACCAGTTAAGAAACAATCAATGCCTCTTATACCTCCAAAACATTTAATTGTTTTATATTTAATAGATATACTCTCTGAATTTGAACAGTTGCTTTCAGACTTAGCTAGTTTAATCCTATTCACTCACTAATTTTAGAAAAATAATGGAAACCTAAACTCCATATGATTAGTAGGCTAAAACTTAATCCATAGGCCTTAAGCACATGAAAAATTCTGTCAGCTACAGTATTTTCTGAAACCTTTCTCTTTCCACTACAGTTAAGGGAGGAAGAAATGGACAAATATAATCCAAGGAAGTTGGAAGTAAAAAATGGCAATTGATTGAGTCATCTCTCAATTATTCAGGAGCTAAAGTATTCTGTGTCTAAGGGCTGAAGACAGTTCCACTTGTCAATAACACTGGAAGAGTAAGAAAAGCTAGGAAAAGCTAAGGAAAATCAGTTGATTTTGCTGGTTCTGAGAAGATGCAAGCTTTTGAAATAATCATATCTTTATAGTTACACAACTGAGAATTTTCTTAAAATAGAAAATCAGGCAAGAGGCAGCTAAGTAGTTCACTGGACATGGCACCAGGAAGACTTGAGTTCAAATCTGGGCCCAGATACTTAATGGCTATGTGACCCTGGGCAAGTCACTTTAACTTTTGTCTGACTCAATTTCCTCAACTTCAAAATAGGAGCAATATAGCACCTACTTCCCAGGGTTGTTATGAGCATCAAATCAGGTATTTGTAAAGCATTTAACAGAATACCTCTAGATACTTAATGAAAGTTTGTTTCCTTCCTCCCATCCATGCATTAAAATTAGATAATACTGACAGATTTGAATAGATGACTTTGTTCAAAAATCAGTGAGGTATTGCCATTAAGTGAGTATAAAGTCAGGTATCATAGATGTTCTGCATATAGTCCAGTGATGGGGCACCAATGATGGATCCCTAAAAGGCTCCGGACTTTCCCATGTGGCCCAGGTCTCTGGAGTTTGATTAGGACACCTGGCCCTTCCCAATTAATACTTTTAACTGCCCTTTCATTATAGCCCTCAGAGTCTACACCTAGTCCCATCCTAGACTGCCACTCCTTGATTCCATCTAGACCCCTTCCCTGTCAGTCCAAACAACTGGCCATTATTGACCTATAAAAAAGGTCAGTATAACCTACCAAATTGCTCAGATTCCTTAAGAGTCTGGCCCACTTGTATTGGCATCACAAAGGCTCAGTTTCCTTAACAGTCTGGCCCACTTGTCAACACAAGTGGCACAAATAGAGCTGACTCTTGAAAGCCGGCCCACTTCTATTGGCAAAACAATAAACCTTGTCTCTGAGGGAAAGAAGGCTTGAGTTGAATTCTTTCAAAGCAGGACCTGCTTCTTTTGCCCTTGAATTTTGGGGTTCCTGGCACCCCTACACTGCAACACAAGCAAAATGATTCTCCATAGTTAGAAAGGTTCTCTAAATATTCCCAAGCAAAGATGGCATTATGCTAATTGCTATAGAAAAGGAAACAAGAGGAAGGTCTTCAATGAATTGGATAGATCCTTGGTAAGGGATTTGGGGAGACAGACAAAGCATCTCACAGAATGAGGGTGGATGGAGAAATTGGAATCATAAATTAGTGGATTTTCATCATCACATTGATGAAATATCAAAAGACCTACTGAAGTATCAAAATTGGCAGTAATCAATAGTGAGAACATACTAATTCATGAATCCAATATTACACTACTGGAAGGTTTGTTTTGGGGCAAGCAAAATGCCATTGTATTCATTTAATTTGGGTCATCAGATTATCATAGCTTGCTGAGGAAGTTGCTCAGTCTTTACACCTAGAAATATCAAAAAAAAATGGCTATGGTAGTGGTATATTCTGTTATGTCATATTTCCAAGTATTACCTTTCTCTACTTAAGATGGTATATGACAGTAGGCCAGAATGGGAATGTGACCTATGACTCACAGAGAATGGAAACTACTTTGAAG